AAAAAAAAAAAAAAAAAAAAACAACCCACAAAAACACATACACACAAAAGAGGGGAGCTGGGAGCTGGCTGGGGGTTCCACGGAAGGGTGTGGGGAGGTGGGTGTTCGCCAGTCAGGAGCACCATTGCTGCAAGAAGCGAGTCCTGTCTGAGTGCTCTGCCCACCCTTTGATAGCCACCTGCTGGGGTGGACAGGATGTGGCAGAGCTGGGGGTGGGGAGGACAGGAAAGGATGTGGTTCTGAGGATAGTGATTTTGGCCGGGGCTGAAGAGAAGATGCCTACATGTGCAGCCAATTCCTGGAGAAGTGGTCCCCACTGCCACGGAAGTGACTGGTGATTTTCAAACTCCATTTGGCTGTAGCTACAGAAGTTACATCTTACTGTAAAATCCTTTGCACTCAGGAAAAGCTGAAATAGGTTTCCTCAAACCCACTTATCTTGCGATCTGTGCACTCCGATATCGTCTGGGTCTTGTGTTTTGTAATGCTAATGGCGCTCCAGCTCTATTGACTTCAGAACCCCCTAAGGGGTCAAAGTCATCAGTGGGGAACTCCAGAAGCCCAGCAGAGCTGAGCTCCCGGGCAGATACCTAGGAGCCAGGAGGATGGCAGCTGGTCGCCTCAGGGCCTTCGAGGGTCCTGTCCCTTGCCAGGCCACGTGCGGGATGTGGAGAGGGACTCAGCCCCTTGCCAGCGCAGTACATTAAGTCCTATTTTTAAAAAATCCTTTTATCCCACAAGCTAATTTTGCCCCGACCCCGGGGCTTCGCGTGGACAGAATTCTAAGCACCGACAACCCCGCAGGGAACCCGGACTAAGTAAGGAGCGCGCAGCGCACGCCCAGCCAAGACCTGCGGTGGACGGACTCGCGCTGAGACCGCACTCTCAGGCCCCGGCGCCTTCCTCAGCTCCGCTGAGTGCACCCGGTCACAGACAGGTGGGTGCCAGCGGCCCGCGCGGGGCGGGGACATAAAGGAAAGACGAGGCCTGACCCTCCTCTGGCCACAGTTCTCAGACGCTCGGGCTGGCGGAGAGTCCCCGGGGAGCCTCAGAGGGCGGCCCGGGGG